ATTTGTTGACACTGTGAAATTTTGAATCAACATTTTTTCCTTTAAAATTTTACATTTACTCAGATTAAAATTTTGATCTGTCGTCTATGTTATATTACAAATAAAATATTGACATTTGCCATCTCCACATCATTGCATTCAGTTTTTATTCACAATTTGTTTAGTGTCCCAACTTTTTTGGAATCCGGTTTGTATATTTAGGGGCTCTGTAGATGACAGCACACAGCACGGGGTGTGAGCGACCCACCTCAAATAAATAAACAAAACCAGCTAAAGGTCCGGGTGGGAGAAATTTCTGACACAGGTAATCACAGTCGGCATTTTATGTTGTTTTGGTCTTGTTTTATTTTTGTCAAACAATAAAAATATTTTGAATCTTCAAAGTGCTAAAACCTTTTTAAATAGCACATTTCACAAACCAGATCAAAGTGTTTCACAATAAAGCTAGATAAAATAAATGTATTTAGATGTAAAGGATTGAAAGAACAGAGACAAAAACAAAAAGAAAACTTCCCAGCTTACAACTTGTCTGAATAGAAATGTTTAAATAAGAAGCAGACTTTGGAAAAGTAATTTGAACTTCAGGTTAAAACAAGAAATCAGAATGCCAGGGGATGAACACATTTGCTTTGGATTTAGCATCAACACAGTCACATTTCATTTTAAAGTCAACAACACTTACCAACGGCTCCATCCTCAAGAACTCAGAGGAGATCAGTATGGAGATCACGTTGCTGGGCTCTGTAATAGACAGACACCACAAATTTTAAGCTTCTATAACACAGGCTCAAGCAATCCAGACCACAAAGTACTAACTGATCCAGAACTCAGAGTTCCTACAAATCCAGACCACAAAATCCAAAACAACTTGGACCACAGAGTTCCAACCAATCCAGACTACAGATTTAAAGAATCCTCCTCGAGGAGCTGGACCAAGTGGCTGGGGAGAGGGAAGTCTGGGCCTCCCTACTTAGGCTGCTACCCCCGTGACCCGACCCCAGATAAGCGGAAGAAAATGGATGGATGGAACTTCAGTGACTGTGTGAGAAACCTTGGGATGGCCTTTGATAAGGTCCAAAAAAGTTCAATCTGGTCCTCTGGACATTCAAAAAAACAAAACAACAAAAAAATATAGAAACGTTTCGTCTCTCATCCGAGAGACTTCCTCAGTCTGAAGTGCTGTATTCAGCTCAGTCTCTTAAATAGCACCTTCTCAGAGTAGATCAACCAGTTTGCTGCTGACAACCAGAACCAGCTGATCACATGCTCAAGAAGGACCATCAGCCTAACAATGGATCATTAGCACCTGATGGCTGTTTACTGTTCACAGAGGGCTGAGTGATACTAGCAATCACAGCATTGTAAGAGGGGGACAGTTGAACCCGGAGGCTCCACCCCTGTTTAATGATGGACGGTTTCTTTTCACAAAGATGGCCTCCTTTACTCTTATCTCAAACCATCGTTCCTCTCTGTCCAGGATGTGAACATCTTCATCCCTGAAAGAGTGACCTCTGGCCTGGAGATGAGTGTAGACCACAGAGTCCTGGCCTGATGATGTTGATCTTCTGTGCTGGTCCATCCTTTTGGCCAGTGGCTGTTTAGTTTCCCCGATGTAAGACTGATCACCCTCCTGACACTGAACAACATACACAACATTACTCTGTTTGTGCCGGGGGACTGGATCTTTGGGA